AGGAGGAGGAGGAGGAGGAGGTCATGTACGGTTTGTGACCAGAAATACTGAAACAGAAAATGAACGGCTGCTGTCTCCGCTCTCACCTGTGTGGGTTGACGAGCTGGAAGTCGTCCCAGGTGAGGATGCCGTGGTACCAGGCAGGCGGTTTGGGTTTCGGGGGGTCCATAATGAACTCGGACTTGGAGTCCTCGTCGAAGCTGCCCACGGAGTACGTCTCCTGGCTCTCCTCGGTGGACGCCTCCGACTGCACCTCAGACAGCAGCAGGAAGGGCTGCAGGTGGGGCCGCTCGGGGTCGTGGCCCTGCGGCGAGCTGCGGGACTGGTACAGCAGCTTGCTCATGTTGGACTTGATGTCCCCCATGCAGAGCAGCTTGAAGAAGGGCTGCGAGATGGGCAGGTCCACCAGCCGGTTGTCCTGGATGCACTTGGCCAGGAAGACACCCAGGAAGTGGAAGAGCTTGGTGATTCGCTCCAGCTCCTCGCTGTCCTGAGGGAACGGAGCCGGGAACAGGCCGCAGGAGCGCTGCACGTAGAACCCGGGAGGCTTCAGACCGCCGCCCAGGTCCACCTGAAGAGGAGACAGAGAGACTCAGTGACTGACTGATCCAACTGATCCAACATTCTGTCTCTCATCCCCCGCTGACTGTACTGGACCTACAGCACATCGCCGGACTCTCACCTGTCGGGACTCGTCGTCGGGGAAGTCGTCGTCACACAGCCAGATCCCCAGTGATGTCCTCTGAAACTCTGCAGCCACCAGAGCGTAAAACTCCAGAGTCGGGCCGAGACCCGTTCCCTCCTCTCCCTGAAACTCCACCTGAGGACAGACGGACAGATGTTGCAGCCTCTGTAGTTTGTCTGATCACAGGTCGTCCAACTGAATGTGTCTTAAGTTCTATCTGAATATCTGAAGTTCATTTGAACACCCAGCTGTTCTATAATAAAACATATAAATATAAATATGAACATGAATATGAATGAGGCTGCAGTCTGCATCGTGTCTCATCGACCTCTCACCTCCAGCACGGACTTCCTGTCGGCGTGCAGCTGCATTACTGACTCGGCCCACTCCATCATGGCTTCCCCTCGGGGGACTTTGACTCGCTCGTGTTTGAGCCGACCCACCCTGAACTCGCCGGGGTCGTCCCTCCGCACTGTGGTTGACGGCCGGGAGCGCTCCATGGTCGCCTCCCGTCGGTTCTGGAGCCACACGATCGCCCTGCAGACACAAACATTGTTTTACACCTGTAGGGTTCGGTACCGATCCACCTTCGCCTGCAGTTTGTTCCAGTCACAGTGAGTCAGAGCACGTTACTGTGTGATGGTTAAATTTGCTCTCTGGATTTCAGTTTGACGGGATTATTATGATTATTATGAAGCTTTATGTGACCTAACTACAGTTTACAGTGAAATATTACAGTAAACAAGCTCTGCAGTAGTGAGGGGAGTTTACAGCTTTGTACAGCTTCGATTTGTGTTATTACAGAGAGAGTAAAGTGCTGAGAAAAGGAACTGTTGGGTTCGGTATCAGTTCAGATGTGAACAGGACCGGCATCGATAAAAGAAACTGATAAGTTCGGAGGCAAATGATTGTGATGGATCAGATTTGGAGCCGGTTCTCCATTTCCATCCTTGAGTAGAGAGACCATCGTCTCATTTCATTATCTTTCCTCAGGTTTTGGGGGTTTTTAGGGGTTCCCACAACCTAACATGGTTTTAACTGAACATTTGGGTTTATTTTTACCTTATTTTCTTTGCATTTATTCAGTTGTTTGTTTGGGGGTTTGTGTTTGGACTCACCTGGAGGCTCCGAACGCCGTGCAAGTGAAGTAGAGCTGTCGGGTCTCAAAGGGGATGAGGAAAGGACACTTGGAGGTGAGCTGTTCACACCAGTCGGGCAGAGCTCCGCTGGCCAGCGCCAGAGGCTCCTGGGAAACAACAACACAGCGAGGCGTTAACATCCACTATCACTGGCAACAACCGTCGCTCTCACTGAGAAGCAGCATCATCACTGATCGATAACCCGCTCTCTGCACAGGAAGCGTTTAAAACCAACTGACCTCGATCTGCTGCAGGATCTTGGTCGTGATCTTCTTGCTGGTGAACTCCTCTGGAGACGCGTTGAACTGCAGCTCGTCAAAGTCTGCACAAAGAAATAAATTAATCTCGATACAGAACAACAAACTACAGAGAAACCTCCCGACTGTTTGAGCTCCTGCGTCCGTACCCTCCTGCAGCGTGCGCGCGTTGGAGGTCGCGTCTCCTCCGATGATGTAGAGGATGCGCAGGAGCTGCAGGACGTCTTCCACCCCGCAGGCGTTCTGGCTGCAGCCCGCCTTCGCCTGCGCCATCTCTCTGGCCACGCCTAGGATCTCGCTGCTCTGATTGGCTGAAATCGAGCTCGGGCTCAGACCGCCAGACCGACCCCCGACACCGATGCTGTGCTCACACAGGTCCTGGAGGAGGGAAAGGAATCAGGTTGTGAGTCCGCAGTCACTCCAGATTCTGATCTGCAGACGTTTACACCGTTTATTTTTTGAAACATTTGGGATTAAAAAGTGGATTTATCTTCTCAACCTGTCGGCTGTGACAGCTGCTGGTTGGAAGTTAGCGCAGCAACCAAACTCCATTTAGAAAACAACATTTTAAGAGTTGTTTGTCTGTCATTCTTGTGTACAGACCCGACAAAGTCTGAATTCAGGCTTTTTACCAATCGCCATCATGATGCAGTTTTTCAGCTACTATCTTAGGCTCATCCTGCCGCAGTGAGACTACGGAGATTAAAAGGCGAGTTGTGTCTAAACTGCTGAAAATAAAAGCTGAATCCAGAATGACGTCCAGTGTTTCTCCTCCTCAGGCAAGATGAGAATATTGATATTCTTTTTCTTGGAGGTGTGATTCAGGTTTGTAAGTGACTCACCATCTTTCCGCTCTCCTTCTCTTTGTCAGAGTCCTTCAGCTCTCTGTACATTATCCTGCAGACAGAACAGCCAGAATAAAAACTCAAACATCTGTGAAACGTCCCCCGTCACACCCACACCGTCCCTCCTCTTACGTGTACGTGGGCTCCCAGATGCGTCGCAGTTTGTCCGTCTTCACGGCTCCGTTGCAGGAGAGCTGCAGCAGCCGCTGGACATAGTAGAAGATGGTGGACTTGTAGTTGGACAGAGGGAGCTCCACCTCGCGGGTCGTACCCAGTCCCGCCACCTGAACACACACACACACACACACAGACACAGACACACAGAGACACACACACCAGCAGGAGTTTATTAGTGAAGGCGGAGCTCCAGGTCTGAATTTCTCCCAAAGTAAAGATCCAAAACTCACAATCTCATCTTTAAATGAACACATTTGGATTTAGATTGCGAGACATTCACTTGTTATTTGGTTTTCTTACCTTGAGGGTGAGAGAGAGGTGAGGAGACGGGGCGCACTCCACCTCCTCCTGAACCTCCGAACGAGGAGTTCCTGACAGAAGACAAAGGAAGACGTATGTGAAGTTAAACTTTACGACTCTTTCAAATATCTTTTGGATGTTTAGAACTTATCCCTCTTAATATTTTTAGTTTAATTATTGGATTTATTTGGGTTTTACTAATAATGAGGTTATGTGGATTCACATAACCTCTATTACTCTAATTAATGAAGACATGCTGTGACTTGTTGGTTTTAAAGAGTTGTAATTTGTATCATTCAGCATTTTACTGCAGTTTCAACTTAATAAAGTTCTAATATTTGAAATATGCTGAACGTCTGAGAAAGATTAGATCATTTAGATAATATAATATATGTGAGACAGGAGGAGATATGACGCTGCTCGAGCTCGCGGCGCTGTGCGGTACCTGGCTGTTGGATCTCCAGGTCGGTGGTCTGCTGGACGTTGGTTCTTCCTGGTCGGGGGTCGAAGGCCGGGACCAGAGCAGAGAACTGCCTCTTCAGGACAAAGTCGTCGTCCCACGTCCTCCTGCGACCTCCTTTGGTCTCGTACTCCTCCTCCTCCTGTGGGGACAGCCACACCCTCGTCACACCCTCTGACATCACTTCCTGTCGCTCATTACTTGTGCTGCCACTATCTAACCAATAAAAACACAGAAGTGGGTCCATTACCAGAACCTCCTCGTACTCCTGGTCCTCCTGATTGTCGTCTTCGTTCTCGTCGTCGTCGTCGTCCGGCTCGGGGAGGTCCTCCTCGTCGTCCAGCTCAGCCAATAGCGTGTTGGCACGACAGCTGTCCAGGAAGTCTGCAGCAGGTTGGAAGAGACAGAAAACAACGTCTTAAAATACAGTGCGTCACATTATTATTATTATTATTATTATTATTATTATTACTACAACTTGCAAACGCTGAGAAGAGAACTTTAAAGAGCTAAAACAATAACAGACTGAAACACTGAATCAATTAAAGCTCTATTAGCAGAAACTAAGATATTAATTAGTTTATAATCACCAGCAGAAAATAATGTTAATAAATATGATATTTTAATATTTGTGTTAGGAAGCAAGTTAGTTGAAGCAGGCTGTTCTGTGTGTGTGTGTGTGT